CACATAATCTGGGTGGGCTGCTTCTCTGCAATTTCATTATATGGGGGTCACATGCGAAATGGGGCCTGCATGTCGAGATTCTCGACGTTTGCGAGTGGACCCCCGGTTACTACACCCGATTGAATCACACCATCTGCGCGGTTATTTTTTACTTTTGTCGGAAATGATCTGAGCTACCCCCTAACCACCGATACGGAGGCAGCCAGTCGCGCCGCTGCTGAAACCTGTGAAACCGCTACAGAATGCTACCACATCACGGTGTGTAGTAAGACACAAGCCCGAATCCATTGTGTGATTCATTCACGCTGTCGCATGCAGTGTGACCAAGCGGTTGCGTGAGAGGCTTGGGACGGGCTTCGACTGGATATGCCTCCGGCGGACAGACGCTACGAGACAGCTGGGTGACACGACAGAGTACAGGCTGACACACAATGAAAGGGTGAGACAAAATGAATGGACTGCCATGACGTATGGGTCTCGTTGGCCGTGGGGCTGCGACTGGATATGCCTCCAGCGGACAGACGCTACGAGACAGCTGGGTGACACGACAGAGTACAGCGCTGTACAGATTCTCCGAAGGAGAGACGCGGACACACAATGAAAGGGATGAGACAAGATGAATGGATTGCCATGGGTCCTTCACTTGTGTATACTCTCTCTCTTCCTTTGAGAAATGCATGAGGAATGATATTGCCCAACACAGACGCACGTCACTGTCGCATGTCTCCATGAACAATTCTCGTCCCCAGGCGGAGAGGCTCCTGAATGCCTCGCCCAGCCATTCCCCGCCCAGCGCAACAGTTGCTGCGCGGCAAATTGCATCAGCAGTCCAGCACAAAACAGCAAATGTACGTATGCGCATGACACGCAGTCCAGGGAGTCCAAGGAAAGCAACAGCGCAACAAAAACGCAAAGGGCAGCACGTGCTGCCATCCAGGAACAAAAAGACAAGGGGGGACAGTAACTGCTGTCGCATACAGAATCCCTCTCCTTGGCCACGTGCCCCTTCCCTTCTCCCTCTCTATGGCGCCCCATACACGCAAAGGTCAGGCCGCAGCCGGCGCAGCTGATCGTGTCTGCAGCAATGGACGAGCTTGTGACAACAGGCACTCATGGGATGGGTTGCTGGATTACTTACCCTCCCTGCAAGCGAATCGGCCTCAGTCCCTTTCTCAGTAGGAGAGACGCAGCAATTGAAGAACGGAAGCCGCACTTGCAGAGAAGCAGATACCTGTATCGACAAACAGGGAGGAGACACCATATACTCACAGAGAACCAACAGCACCTGAAAGCTGCGTCAAGACCGTGGACGACAGAGGGGAGCTGATCGAGAGGTATCAGCTCAGAACCTGCAACCAGACAGCAAAACAGGCTCCCAGCAGATAGCAGTCAGTCAATTCGATCCGCCGGCTTGCCCTTGACTCTTCCGATGGTTGGATGGAAGAACTCGGGTGGGGTCCGGACGTCGAGAATACGCATGTCCTTCTGGTACAGCCATGGCGCCTCTGCCACACAGACACGCCACTCCTGTGGACAAGGCTTCCACCACAACCCAAGTCGTAGTGCCATACCTCCTCCGTCCGCCTGATCGTCCCCGTCTTCGCTGCCTGACGGGAAAAATGTCGACTCAGTTGGAATCTCCAACAAGTCGTACGAACTAAACAAAGGGCAGTGAGAATCGTGAATCGACAGCTTTGCCTCTGCGTCTTGGCTACCTTCGCGGGTACATTTTATTGTCCGCGGCGATCTCCAGGTCGCATCCCGTGGCAGCGACTATCCTATCCCCCAATCCCATCTGAGCCAGGCGCCTGCAAAAGGCCGGACATGAAGGAGTTCGCACCATTGGTGTGATGCTACCCTGTCCATCGTCTTCTCACATGAGCATTTCCTCTAGTTGCTCTGACGGCGCGACCACCAACAGCTTTTCCTTGTCTCGCGTGGCCCCCGCCCCATCACTTGGTAGTGACGTGTTGCTCACAGACGGAAAAGGCGTCTTGCTCAGCGATGGAGATGGCGTCGAACTGCCGCGAGCAGACGACGTGCCCGATTTGGGTGCCTTCTGGGAGCTGCTGTCCCGTGTGGGCGGCGGCGCGTTGAGGGTCTTGATCATGGAGACGATCCAGATGCCCCAAAAGTCCTCGACCGGACTTGAGGTGTGCACAGGGACATTCAAAGAACCTTGCAGATGGCACCTGAAACCAGTAAGGCATCGACATACAGGCACTTGTTGTGGAAAAAACGACGCGATGACGTACAAGCAACCCTTACTGTGCGAATTTGTCGCAGTCTCTGCCGTCGATGATGATCAGGGAGTCCCGGCCATGTTTGCTTTCAAGGCTGATCAGCCTTTGGAGAAAAGCCTTGAAGGGCAAGGCGCCGCCAAAACGCTGTGTGAGAACTGCTGGGTGGTACTCCTCGATTGAGGCTGGTGGCGCTGGGAGGATCTTCTTGCGCTCATCCCACTTGATGCTGTTCTCGCGAACCACCTGAGAAAAGCAGCCACCGCCCACAGGTGTCTCTCCGTTCCTCTCCTGTGGTCTGTTGTGCGTTCACCTCATCCCAGCAGAGTCGTGTACGCCCGACAGATATCTCCTGCTTTAGCAGCCTGTCCATCAGCTCAGTGAAGGCTTCCTTGTTCTTTGCCCTGAAGAACTCATTCTGCTGACGCTGCTCTGCCAGCTAAGCACACACAAGGAGCACGCGAGGCGAGAGGCTGCTTGGTCGCGGGACCTGTATGTGCGTGTGCTCACACACCGTTGTCCTGAGATCAAGGCAGAAGCTTTCGGGTATGGCGACGGGGCTGCCTGGGCCATAGGCGGGGTAAATATCGATTGACGCGGGCAAGAGAGTATCGAGCTGCTGCAGGGACTCAAACAGGCTCTCAACCAGGCTACGCTTCCCCTTCTTGCTGGAAGGCCTGAGAGCAGAAGCACAGTGTTCATTACCGCGCTTCTCCCTGTGTGTCTCAAGCCCACTTGTTGAGGAGCGATTCGCCGACGTCAGTGCGACCGACGGCTCCGTTGAGTAGAGTGGCTCCCGTGAAGCCGATTAATGGAGTGCCGGCCTATCATGCACAGGCACACGAATGACAGAAGTGATGCCTCCTCCCCTCTGCTTACCTCCTTCCCCTTGTTCCTGCAAAGCAGCCACGTGAGTGCCCCCGGTGTGTGGCCGGGCGTCTCGAGAACCCGCCACACAAACCGACTAGATATCCTGAAAGAAGGGGACACCTGCATTGAACAGAGACCTGTCGTGTATCGTCTGCTGCTCACTTGTATATGGCATTGTTTGAGACACAAGTCTCCCTTTTTGGTGGCGCCGTTCCCTGGAGGAGTTCCTCCTCTCTGCTGAAATACACTGGACAGCCCGTCACGTGGCTCAACTCGTAGTGCCCTGAATAGAGGGACGAGGATAGTCATTCACACAGGAAGGGTTGCTGCCGAATCACTCACGCACCTGATAGACTGTCGAGGGGCATGTGTGTCAGCAGAATGCCCTTCAGGGACAGGTTGAAATGCTAACGTGAGAAGAGAACCAGTGAGATCGTATAAGGCTTATCTCCTGTGGAAGGCTCATTGCCCCATCTCGCTTAGTGTGCCTGACCTGAAGGTCTCTGACGTATTGCCAGATGTTCCATTCGGGGTCTAAAACATAAGCGTTGCCTGACAGTGTAATAGAGGCTATGCAGCCGGCTCGTGCGATTTGTTTGCTTACCTTCGTGTGCAAAGAGGTACGAGGCCCGTCCGTGCCCCACCTCATAGTAACACCGCAGCATGACCTTCTCCGATATCAGATTGACAAAATCCTCATACTCAAGCTCGTCATCATCATCTCCCAAAGCCTGCATTCACGTACGCGTGCACACGCACAGCCACACAAAATACCAACCAGCAATCCACCTATGCCTGCCCGGGTCTCACGATTTTGACGAGTGTCTCCGCGTGCAGGGTCGGTCCAATGTGTCTCTGGATCGACCGCAGTCCCGCAGGCATGAAATTAAGCTTTTCGCGATGCATTGGTGGGAACGAGGGGAGCTGTTGTTCCGCCTCAGGCGACCCCGGGGCAGACATGAAGCTTCTAGTTCTGCTGAGGGGTGACATGACATTTTTTGCTGCTGGTGAGCTCGGCTCGTGGTGCGGGCTGGACGGTGAGGAGGATGCGTTGATGCGAATGCGGCTGGAATTAGATGAGACACAAGACGAATGTGAGCGGGTTTCGTGGGTGAAGGGAGTTGTACCGTCTTGGTCCCTCTGTGACTTCTTTCAGCTCTTCGAGGCTGACCACACCGTCGCCATCCTTGTCAGAGACAAAAGACACACGCCTTTTCCGTGTCGCCACCGCCGCCTTCTTCCTTACCTGGTCGAAGCACCTGAAAGCAGCCTTGCACAGCTCGACATTGGTGGCCAGGTCGCTGCCCATTGCAGCGGCCGAAAACTCCTGGAAGACAGCAGCAGCACGCTAACGAGAAAACATTGCACTGTGTCTCGGTCATGATGACCTTAAACTCGATGTGCGACGCCACATTCGTGTCAATGCTGTGGAAAATCACCTGATTGGGAATCAGAACTGATACACGAGTAAGAAGGCGTTTGTGTGGCCTCACCTTCATCTCCTCGCTGTTCTGCTGCACGTCCTCGGCGAATATCTCCAGGTGGTTTCCGAGGGTGCCTTTGCGAGAAGGAAGAGCCAGCAGGGCGTCGAGACGCTTGCGGAAAACCTGAAAGCGAGCTGGCATGGATCGACGTGACGCTTTCGTTTTGGTGATTTATTGCCTGACTTTTTCGAACTCCTTGAACTCGATGAAGCCATCGTTGTCCAGATCGATTGATTGAAATGCCAAACGGAGTTTCTGCACTCAAGAGATAAACAGGTGCAGAGGAAAGGCACTGCTGTGAGACAGACAGGCGCCAAGCTGTTCCTGGCACCTCCAGCTTTTGCTCCTTTAAGAAGCAGGCTGCGGCGGTGAGTGCCGCCTTCTTGAGCTGCGAGTGAAAGGGCCATTCCAGGATGCTGGCAACGATCTCATCGGTCAAGCTGAAGAGACAGGCATACAGTAGTAGCAATTTCTTGTTGGCTGCATCACATACGCATTGATGTCATGTTTTGGTTTGTATTTCTTCACGTATGGGTGGTCCAGGGCGTCGCGGGCAGACAGACGCTGTGAGGGATCCACTTGCACGAGGCGCTGAGGCAATTGGGTACCGTACCCGCAACCAGCAAAGCGCAATTCTTGTCGTGTTGTGCCTTTCTATGTACTCGAATGAAGTCTTTGGCCTCCTTGGACACCTTGCTCCACTTGTCGTCATCGAATGTCAGCTGGAAGTCATCCCAATGAATCTTCGTACTGAAAGCAGAGACAATGAGCAGACACGCACACACACTCACTCATTCACTCATTTACCTGGAGACCTCCGACTGATCAAAGTCCTTTCCCCATGGATAGTGACCGCTGAGAGCGACATACGTCATTACTCCCTGCAAACACACACCCCTACATTCCGCTTGTAGTCATTTGCTTCTTGGCCGGCTCACGAGGCTCCACATGTCGCAGCGATCGGTGAATTGTATCGTGAATTGGTACTCGGGGGCGGCGCAGCTGTGAGCCGGATGTTCGATGTCCGTGTATGTTCCACCCGTGATGGGCGCCTGGCTGCGCAACGACGCACGGAAGCGCTGGGAGCGACCGAAGTACTCCTCTGTATAAGTGCCAGTGCATCATTTTGTCTAGCCATGACTCTGCTCTTGTGTTCATTATAGTCCGCCCACCCTGCTCCTGTTCCTTAGCGTCCGCCTCATCCTGCTCCGACTCAATCCCCTCGCCGAATGTCACGGCGCGACCACGACTGGACAGACCCACACAAACGAGTGCCGATCGATTGTGCGGCGCTCTCGCTTTACCTTTGCATGAGTCTCTTCAGATTGCCTGTTGTGTCGTCTTGATGCTGCTGCGCCGACGTCTTTGCGTAGAAGTTGAGGGGTAGAGGCAGTGTATCGGGCTTGGCAGCATAGCGACTCACAGGTCCGCTTGTAAGCGGAGTGATCTAGCATGCCCAACAACGAAGACAAGCGAGCGAACGGAAAAGCGAGTGGGCTTGGGAGAGCTACATGTGTGCGTACCAGTTGGAGCATGCTCGGGTCTCGGCTCTTGGCTGACAGTTTCCTTCCCTCATCCCGGTCGACAGACTCACTGGCAAAACCGAAATCCACCAGCTGAAGAAGACAGGGGATTATTCTCCTACGCGTCTCGTGATCTCTATGCGACCAATACTGACTTTGATGATGAAATTGTCTTGTTCAGGTGCCACGAACAGCACATTGTCGAACTTGAGATCCCGATGACAAATCCCTGTTGCGGAGTGGCGTCAGGCCATGTGCCTTTGATGAATGGTGCTGACCTTTTGTGTGCATGTATGTGATCGCTGAGAGGAATTGAGGCAGCAACCGGCCCCACTGGGCCTCACTCACACACCCGCCACCTGCACCATCGATGAATTAGGTGTCGACTGAATGGGACTCGGCTTTTTTGTCTTACTTTTGTGCAGCCATGAGTGGAGCTCTCCGCCCTCACACAGCTCCTGACACAGATAATACTGCAAAGAAGCGACGAATCAGCCGGTGGGAGAGACCAGAGTGCGAATGAGACCAAACACAAAGACATGCAGAGACATACATCATTCTTACGTACGTGTCTCGCATCATAAAAGATCTCAAACAGACGAATGATGTGGGGATGATCCAGCTCCTGGAAAGAAGCAGAGACATGGCGCAGACAGGTCCTTCCTCACGGCAGCGCGATGGATCTCGTGCTCACTTTGAGTATCCTCATTTCCTTGTTGAATCTGTCCAAATTGGTGACAATCGACCGCGGTATCTTCTTCATCGCTATCCGGTCATCAGAGAAGCGAGACCGAGCAATGTAGACCTCACCAAACGATCCCGATCTGCCACACACAAAAAGAAGGATGGCCATGTCTCATGCTGTGAACTGTATGTTCCATCACCCCAGCTTCGCATCCTTGTCGATATCATAGTAATGAAAAACGCTGCCGGCATTCTGATGGACGAACCCATGACGGTTGAAGGATACCCTGCGAACAAAGGGAGAGTCATGCAGCTGCTCGTGGTTGAGTACCGGTAGTGACCTCGTGGCGATGGCTCTCGAAATGACCTCTGCGTCGGGCTGCTCGAAGAAGTTGGGAGTGACGGGTGTGTGTGCACCTGAGGGGGAGAGAGTGAGAGAAAGAGGCTGAGTCCGATGTGGCCTCACATGAATCGTGCGCCCCACCTGAGGTAGATGCAGGCACATCTGGTCGAAGCAAACAACGAGCAATGAGGCAAACAAGATCCACTTCCGGAAAGCATGATAAAGAGCTGACCTGGCGGCTCGAATGATCCTTGGACGGCACTGAACTGTTGAGCAGTCCCTCGGACATCGGGAGGGCGAACTGTGATGGTGGATGGCGTCGACATGACGACTGACGGGGGGCTGGCGGCCGCGCCTGATGTGCCCCCCGATCGCCCCGGCCCTCTCTCCCCGCCCGTCTGAACGCGTAGCGAATCTGGTTGGTCCATTCATCCGTGATGGCGTCCAGCCTCCCCCCGGTGACGACACAGACGCAGACCCCAAGCCACATGGGTATTCGCAAGCAGGCGTCGATGACCAACGTCGATGTCACCCCGGAGAAGGCCTTCGAGATCTTCTCCTCGAAACAGCCTGTTGTGCGCCGCAACAGTGTTCTCGAGGTCATTTCCTGCGACAACCATGAACTGCTCGAGGCGCCGAGACCCGGTCAGGAGCCTCCGCCCGCTGCAATCGACAAGGAGTCGGACACATCTTCGCTTCGACTTGCGGAAGGGTTCAAGGCGGCGGTCGTTTCGAAGGGAGCAGAGCGTCGGGCGACCTTCTTCTCGACGTCCGAGCCCGGCAGCCCTCATTCGCCCACCCTGGGGGACGTTCCTCGCGGCCAGGAGCTGTACGATATGTTCCGCGAACAGCACGTCGAGAAGAGGCTGCATCTGCACTCTGCCGGGCTTCATGACACCTCCTCGCCGGTTCAGAAAGGGCGACAGCACTGGGCGCCGTACCTGCCCAAGATCTTCGACACCGTGGAGATCTTCTATGAGGACCGTGAACTCACCGAGATGGCGCAGAAGGATGCCGAGCAGCTCAAGCAGTTCTTCCCTGTCACCTTCGGCCTACCTTACGTCGAGGGTGTCCAAAGTGAGCGGAAAGGATCCAGAAGTGAATGCGGGATGTTGTTTGTCGTCGTCCATTGCGCATTTCTCTCTTTCAGAGCCATTCGAGCGTCGTCCGTTGCGTGTAGGCCTCGTGCTTTCCGGCGGCCCCGCCCCCGGCGGCCACAATGTCATCGCCGGCGCATATGACTTCATCAAGAAATGGCACCCTGACTCACAGTTCTTCGGCTTCATGGGAGGCGTTGATGGACTGTCTGCCTCCAAATACAAGGTGCGGTCGGTCCCTTGATATCCTCAAGGATCTCATGCAGGGAACAAAGTGAGCTGCGTGTAGGTGGTGACTGACGAAGAAATGGACCGCTTTCGCAACATGGGAGGCTTTGACATGCTGTGGTCGGGCCGCGGCAAAATCAGAAACGATGAGGACAAAGCCAGAGCCGTGGAGGTATAAAGGTTCACCGATACAGGAGAAGGATGACAGGCATCCTCCTCTCACTCAGGTGGCTGACTCGTTGGGACTGCATGGATTGATATACGTGGGCGGCGACGGTTCCAACAGCAACGCGGCCCTGCTGGCTGAGCACTTTGGTTCGGCGCTGCCCCAGTGCGCCGTCATTGGTGTGCCAAAGACAATCGACGGTGACCTCAAGAATCCTGTAAGCAGAGGATAATGCGCATCCGTCCTTTTGATGAGAGGAATTTGCATTGTCAGGTGATTGAGAGTTCGTTTGGTTTCGACACATGTGCCAAAGTGTATTCGGAATTAATCGGCAACCTCTGCACCGATCTATCAACGGCCCAGAGATATTACCATTTCGTCCGTGTGATGGGCCGTTCTGCGAGTCATTTGGTGCTCGAGTGCGCCATGCAGACGCGGCCGAATATGGTCTTCATCGGAGAGGAAATCGAGGCCAAAAACATCGGCCTGCAGGTCAGACACCATGGAGACACACAAGAGCTATAAGTCGGAAATCCTTGCATAATCAGGACATTGTCAACAGCGTCACTGATCTGATCATCAAGCGCGACTCAATGGTTAGCTGCGCTGCAACGAATGGGCAGGTGGGACGGAGTCGCTGTTTCGTCTCCTTCTTTGGCTTGTTGTCAGGGCAAGCCATACGGCATTGTTCTCGTACCTGAGGGTCTGATAGAGTTCATTCCCGAGATGAAGGTACTCATCGGAGAACTCAACCGACTTCTCAAAGAGGGGGTACGCCAAATACCTGAGTGGCATTCGCTATACAGCGAGACGCGCATTCTCTTCGTTCTGTATGCAGCCCTTCGATGTCTCCAAGCTCTCATCAGCCGCCGGCAAAGTGTGGACTTTTCTGCCTGAGAGTATCCAGGAGCAGCTGCTGATGGATCGCGAATCCACCGGATACATACAAGTAAGGAGTGAGACCGCCTGTCCCATCGTCTGTGTCTGTCTTTCTTCTGCCTCTTTCTCGTGCTCGATTGCAGGTTGCCAAGATCGCCACTGAGCGCCTGCTCATTCTGCTGGTGCAAAGCGAGCTCGAGCGGCGCAACGCACTACCCGACATGGAAATTATGCCCCACTACTTTGGCTACGAGGGAAGATGCGCAATGCCATCGAACTTTGACGCCAACTACTGCTACGCACTGGGGTTCAACGCTGGTGAGTGAGTGAGTGACATGATAGACGCGTATCTGCGGGGGAGCGCTTACCAGAGGTCTACACTTATGCTTTCGATGGACCAGGTGCACTGATCATGAACAACAAGAACGGCTATATGTCAGTGGTCCGGTACGCCGACCAACCCACACACACACACACTCCCTCTGTGTGTGATGTGTGAGAGTGTAAGCGTGTGTCTTGGCTCCCAGTGATTTGTACAAGCATCCGCGGGAGTGGCGTCCGGCGGGCTGCCCGCTGACTCGAATGATGAAGGTCATCAGCGACGGCAAGAGCACTTTCCCGGGCGTCGAGCGGCGGCTGGTCGAACTCGACAGCCCGCTCTTCAAAGTCCTCGACCAAGTCCGCGATGTCTGGGCCACTGAGGACGTCTACAGATCCCCGGGGCCCATCCAATTCGAGGGCCCTGTCGCCGACCTGGCCAACAACACTGTATGCGTTCCCACAAAGGTGAGAATGAGCACAGGAGAGTTCGAGTGTGTGTCTCAGCCGCCGAACAGCCTCCTGTATGTGCGTGTGTGACCAGGAGGAGGTGACGTATCCGAGGGAGGGTGCCCTGATCATGAGCAAGAAGGCCGTCTTCCCGAAGTCCCTCGACTGGCTCGGCCCCTGCCAGCTGTGGCGGCTACAGCATAAGTGAGTGAGTGAGTGAGTGAGTGGGTGACGACACAACACGGGTGGGCTGACTGATGGATGCAGAGGCGTCTTGTCGGTTGATTGTGGGGTGTGTGTGTGTGTGTGGTACAGGCCAGTGATCCCAACTTTGTGTTTCGATTTGAAGGCCCGTACCCGCAGGACCGATCAGTGCATCCCCAAGGACCCGTACACACTCCGCCAAGTGCTCATCCACTACCCACACCTCATCAACAGGTCTGTCTGGCAGTGTACATACAGTACACAACAACACGATCCCTCATACACTAACTAAACACATAGCCATTCCAATACGGTCCATCCGTCCATACAGGCACCAGTTCGTGATTCAGGAGATGCGCCACGACAAGTACACTCCTCCTATCTCTCCGGGTCTCCGTGTGGGCGTGGTGTTCATGTCAAGACAGGCGCCGGGCGTGGCCAATATCATGTGGGGTCTGTGCAACCGGCTGGACTTGGTCGGAGGGACTTGCATCGGATTCTACGGCCTCGGCGGCCTCCTGGAGGGCAAATACTGCGAGATCGGAGATGATGTGAGTCAGACGTACCCCGCGCGTGCATTGTCTGTCGGTTGATCGGGCGGTGTTGTGTCTGTCAGGACATAAAGCCCTTCGTGAACCAGGGCGGCATGGAACTGCTCGGCAGATCTATGAACTTCTCCCTCATGACCCTCGAGGCACGGGAGAAAGCAGTCAAGACTTGCACGGTCAGTGACCTAGGGAGCCACACACATCGCCGCAAGGCGGTCAGTCACTGGCAATATCTGTCTGATGTGTGCGCGGCACTCCAGGACCTGGAACTGGACGGGCTGGTGCTGGTCGGGTCGGCCTTTGCCATGAGTGAGGCGTGTGTCTTGTCGGAGCACTTCCTGCAAGTGGTGAGTTGGGTGAGGGTGGATGGGCAGGAGGGTTCAGAACCCACATGTGTTTAATGTGCTGGTCCCTAGGACTGCGGCACTTTGGTGATCGGCATCCCGGGTACGGGCTCCAACAACGTCAACCATGAAATGATCGAATGCTGCGTGGGATTCGATTCGACCAGCAAGGTGTACCTGACATGAGTGATGATAGCCACATGAATGTATGGCCGGGACTGTGTGCAACGCTGGGGTAGGTCTACGCGTCTCTGGTGGGTAATGTGCTGACAGACGCTGCGTCGATGCCCAAGTACTGGCACTTCGTCCGCATCATGGGCAGAGACCCCTCGACGGAGGTCAGGCTTGGCAGCTTTATGTCCATCCATCCATCCATCCATGTGCTTCTGTCTGTCTCTTCGTCAGGTGTTGGAGTGCGCGCTCCAGACTCATCCCAACATTGTCATTATAGGCGAGGAATACGGCGCTGCGGGGAAGAACCTCGTTCACATCGTCAAGGTGAGCGGAGACGCACTTCCAGCAGTTCCACCAATTTCAGGCACATGTTTCCGTGCCTCTGCCTGCGGCCAACACCCTTGATTGGCAGGACATAGCTGATGTGGTGGCCAGGCGGGCAGCACAGGGCAAGAACTTCGGCACCGTGCTGATTCCCGAGGCCCTCCTATCGCACCTGCCCAACATGCGCAACCTCACTGACGAGCTCGATGGCATCCTCAAGGACGCACAGGAGGCTGGCACACTCAGAGAATTTCAAGTAAGAGAGATCAAGGGGTGACGGGGCAATGAACACGCGTCTCTCCTGTGTGTGAGTTCAGAACAAGTTGATGAACATAGACGAGCTGAGCCCGACTGACATGGCTGATTTGCTGGAGAAGATGGCCCCCTGGAGTGTAGCGCTCTTCAAAACCTTCCCAAAATTCATCCGACGGGCACTCGCACAGCTACAAAGAGGAGAGGTGACGGAATAACAGTGGTCGTTTGTTATTGGCTGGAGTGGCGTTGTTCCTGTCCGTGTGTGTCGTGTGTCATCAGTTGCGCTTCACCCAGATCGAGACGGAGCATCTGCTTGTGCAGATGGTCAAACAAGAACTGGCCAAGCGCAAGAAGAACGGCACGTGAGTCGGGCGGGAATATGTGGATCGGTCCATGGAGGCAATGAAAGGACGGTTTTCCCTTTGTGTGCTGTGCTTGCCTGCCACGTAAACAGGTTCGTGGGCAACTTCCAGGCGGTGACACACTTCTTTGGCTACCAGGGGCGATCGTCAATGCCCTCAGAGTTCGACAGCAGACTCGGATTCGCTCACGGGTCGGCGAGGCTGGCCACGCCGCCTGTATGGTGTCTGATAGTCATGTCTAGTGTCTGTCTGGATATCAATGTGTCTCAGCCACCTGGCGGCCATGTGTGTTGAGAGCGGTCTGACGGGCTACTGCACCACTGTTAGAGGACTCTGCGGGCCCTCTCACTCGTGGAAGCTCGCTGCTGTGCCCATCCCATCAATGATGAAGGTGGACAGCAGCCGTCAAGGGAGATGAAGTGTCACATTGCTCAGCATTGCCTGTCTGTCGTCTACAGGTGGTTCCGCGTTCTGGCGACGACACAATGAAGGGCTTTGAGAACTTGCCAGTGGTGCCATCTGCTGAGGTTGACCTGGAGGGCAAGGCATTCAGGTCAGTGACACACACACATGCCCGCCACTCTCCCTGCCGGTTTGAATGCGTGTGCTTTGTATGCAGATGGATGAAGAATAGTCTGTCTGGATGGGAGATGGAGGATCGATTCTGCAACCCGGGGCCCATTCAGTTCAGCGGACGCGCAGCCCTCTTCTACAACCGCATACTGCACGAAGAGAACTCCGAGTACCTCGAGATGCTGCGGTCCGTCGAGGCTTACACACAAGTCCTGCACGACACATGCCGGTAAGTGAGACATCCATGCAGACAGACATGCGCATGACAACAACCCATCGGATGCGCCTGTTTTGCATGCACACACGAGCAGATTCGGTGTGGACGAGCACTTCCTGAAGACGGCCTACGTAAGTCTGAACTCGCTGCTGACTTTGCGATTCCACAGCGACGACATTCTGCAGTACGGCATGCCGGTTGCCAAGCCGGCGGAAGATGACGCCGAACACTTCGACATGGTTCTGTCCCCGAGTGCTCGGCAGCTGGGGCACCAGCTGGTGAGTGAGGCGGGCACACAGGCACGGAGGGCTGGACACTCGTACTCACACTCATCATTGATTGTGTACAATGCTCAGCGACACAGCAAGAGCATCGGGGACCCGATCAGAAGGAAGTCACTTCTGCACGGGCCCTCCATGCGAGAGCACTGATTTGTTTGGCTGCTGTTGGCCTCTTTGCCTGAATGGCCTCTGTCTTGACTCCCACATGCAGTTCATATGGAGGGTCAAGTGGCTCAAGAGGTAGGTGGATGGCCGCCAGTTGCTGCCTTTACTGATTTTGCCCATGCACCGGTGCACCTCCTGCCGACAAGTCTGACATTGCAAGACACGGATCAAGCCTCGGCAGTATTCAATTCCCCTGTTGTCCACTGCGAAGCCTTCGCGTGTACGTGCCTGCAGCTGAAGGAATAGATACCTGAAAAATCAGCTGTGAGTCATTATATCGTCCACCGATCGCTTTTTTCGGCTCGCATTCTTTTTTGATGTGGAGCCATTTCCGCGCATTGGTGCGACGAGGTCGCCTGGCGGCATCACTCTGTTGTCATGCGCCGACGCCTGGAAGCACCGCTGCGCCTGAGCGAACTGGGCACTTCCATCTGTCCCTTCCAGCTCGTCCAGCGAGTCCCTGCTTGATAAAGTGCCAGCCGTTTTCGATTGCAGCAGGACCTCGTGCAGCTGAAGAAACGTTGACTGCTGAAGATGACACAGAGGTGGGTCACACAGAGTTGTGCATGTCACTGCAGCCCTGTGTGATGGCTGACTGGTCGGCTGATTCAGGCGTCTGCGGACGTGATAATGAATGAGCAGATCCCCCCGGTGTACGACCACATCCGTGTCATCGACGACAAGGGCTTCGTGGGCGACATGTCGTCCACCGTGGGCGTCCAGCTGGCCCGCTCCCGCTCCACCGATCTTATCCTCTTCAAGGCCTCGGCCGACCCGCTGCCGCTCTGCCGACTTGTGCCTATCGAGACCTACCGGGAGGAGGTCCGCACCAAGGCCAGAAAGATCGTCAGCAAGGAGGAGAGGCAGCAGAAGACGCTCGAGGGGCAGTACTCATTCGACCCAGGACTCAAGGTCAAGATGGTGCGCATCAGCGGCGTGGCCGCCGAGCAGGACTACGAGAGAAAGGTGCGCCAGTGCCGGGACTTCCTCAAGAAGGGCCACCGCCTCGAGATAGAGCTGCTCAGGGGCAAGAGGGGCACGGCGCAGCAGGCCATCGAGCGCACGCAGCGCATCTGCTCCGAGCTCAAGGACCTGGCCAAGCCCGTCAATCTGCCCATTAGGGCCTCTCGCTTCGAAAACCCCAGGACGATCCTGCAGTTCTGGCCGGCCACTCCCGATCAGCTCAAGAACTTCCGGCTGCCTTCCGTCATAGCCGACTCGCCCGCCATGATGCCCAAGCAACCGGCAACCTCGATATCGAGGGAGCAAATCAAACCCGTGGACCCAAAGGTGGGTGGGTGGGCGCGCGGGTAGTGGTCCGTACTGGTGGAAGGCTGTGATGGGATGGATAGTGTGATGGGGCATGGCACCCAACCAGACGACGTTGATTGATTGATTGATCGCTTGTATGCGCGCACAGCTTGACTTGATGCGATTGATTCAGCAAATGGCCTTCACACACGCCTTCACCTTCATAGACCACATCCACCTCTCTTTGTCCGTGTGCTGTGCAGGTGAAGCCTGGCGGTGCGATTCGTGCGGAGGTGGTGCACAAGTCCCGTGTGGGGGAGGAGTGATGGATGGGATGGGATGGGATGGGATGCATGGATGCATTCCATAGACTGAGGAATGAATCAATCAATGATCGATGGCTCTGCAGCTGCCGTAGTCAGTCAGTCATGCAGAGAGTGCACTGATGACTGACTGCAATTGATTTGCCGTACGTATGTGTGTATGTCGTCGAGTTGTGGGACACTGTAGGTCTGTCTGTTTGTTGGTGTGTCTGTTTGTCGTTTATTCGTATGCGTCTGTACGTGATTGATTGTTCTGACTGTCGCGTTGGCGTGCGCGTGTGTGAAGGCAATTTGCTGCATCGCATCAAGCTGTGGATACAATCGATCAATCAATCAATCATCGAGCACCATGATGCTGCTTCGCTGGCAGTGCCTCGTCGTGTCGCTCGTCTGCTGCTTCGTCTCACACCACCACCATGCCCTGGTCGGTCAAACAAACAAACAAAACTGTCACTCTCATTGTCACAGTCGACTGTGTAGGCCTTCTCCGTGTACTCGACTGCCGGGAATTCGGCAGCTCCTTCTGTGAGCTGCCTGACGACAAGTCTCTGGCACTGCCTGATAGATACTACGGCTTGGAGTGTGGAGACAAGAACGAGACGCCTCAGCTGTATTGGGAGGATGCACCGAGCGGCACCAAGTCGTTCGTTCTCATCGCCGTAAGAGCAGAAAAAAAGAGAGACATGATGATGGGTGTGATATATATGTATGTATGTGATGTGTGTGAGGCACAGTATGACCAACACGCCCCTCAGCCCCTGATGCTTGTCTACGACCTCCCCAAGACCGTCACAGCAATATCAGACTCGACAGACCTCAATGCACTTGGTTGGTACGATCAATCAGTCAATCGCAGTCAGTCCACATGAATGACATGAATGTGCCACACATCGCATCAATGGCATCCATTGATTGATGCGATGCGATGCGATGCAATCAGGGGCGAAGGTGGCTCTACCGTACACAGGACCCTGTCCGCACGTCTCATCTACCCGACCCTTCAACTGGTGGGTGGGAGGGAAGAAACCACACTCTCTCTATCACACAATGGACGGACACTCTCTGCTCTGTCTGTCTCCGCTTTCTGTCTGTTCTTTCGACAGCATCGTAATAAGAGTCTTTGCCTTGTCGACCGACCACATCAACTTGCCGGCCGAGCACACCGACTACTTGACGCTTCACAACTATCTCGTCAGTCTGGGAAAAGACGTGACTCATGATATCATCCACCCACTCACAGCGAACCAGCACACCTGCCTAACACACACATAAGACAACATCCATCAATGTGTCTCGTGACGTGATGTGTTGTGTTGGTCAGGGAGCCGTTCTCAACACTGCGAGTCTGTACTCGACTGCGGTCGCGCGGCACACAGGCTTCGTACACGCCATGCGCTGACGTGAAGGAAAGAAGGACCAGGCCAGGGAAGGCAGGAACGACAGACACAGAGACAGAGATAGAGACAGAGAGAGGCATCCACGGAAGGGAAGCTGCAGCGATGAATGAATGGATGGATGCTGATCGATGAATGCATGGATGGCCGCTCAAAACTTAAGAGCTACGGGCAGGGACATAGTACTGGTAGGTACTGGTAGTGGAAGCATGTGAATGTGGCTATCTTTGTCCATGGCCATGCCACTGCAGCAATCAGAGAAAATGCGGCCGATGAACTTTCAGCCTTCGATGCTTTGTCCAGCACGCAGACATCCGTGATCATATTATTAGTCTGCAGCTGGATGTCTGCGGCTCAATTAGTCCAGCAGCCACGCACGAGAGGATCCCTCCATCGTGGCAGCACCTCAACCACCTTCCCTCTGCAACCCATTCTACACATGAGCTACTGACGGGCCGGCCTGACAGGTAAACAGACAGCCGAACACACACCCCCGGCAGTGGACAAGCGCGCGCATCGATCCAAGGTAGCCAAACCGCACGCACCTGTCGTCTTTCGTCAGGTGTCAAGCCGTTTGAGAGTGAGGGAATCTCCCCGATATCCCCACCACTCGATGTCCTACCGCCCCTCCAGCCCCCCAATGGTATCGCGATGCGTCCGTTCGCCCACCAGCCGCCTGAAGCTCTGCCCTCCACCTCGGCACAGCGCGAACCGAAGCTTCTTGACGCCTCGGATCTTGAGCAGCGACCTGACACACGCAATGCCGAACTCGCCAGCGGCATCGCCATCGCCCAAATCCTCAGGCACTGCAGAGACATGGGGAAGGACACACAACGAGAGACATCATGGGAGGAGACAGATCTCATGGCTCACCTTCTACGCTGGCCTCTAGCCGTGTGATGGTCGGCAGCTGGTCGGCATGGTCGCCCCACGTCAGCCCCCCCTCACCCACACCCGTCACCCACTTGGCGTTGAAACACTCCAACTCCCTCTCCCCCCCCACCGCCTCCAGCACACCCGCCGCATCCGCCTCTGTGGGCTCATCCAGATCGATGCTCTTGACGACGGACATTTTGGTCAGCAGCCTGCGGCCACCCGCATGCACCTCGCTCGTTTGAATCGACAGACGCGATGCGGCGGGGAATGCGCTGTGTGGCATGCTGTCGATCACAAGTGGGTCAGGCTGGTCAGCATCAACGTCGAGCTCTTCGACGTTAATGCCGACGACCACTTCCTTCGCCTCGGGGAAGGTCAGGGATTGTGCGAGGGCGATGGCAGCGGGGCTGGGCGTGTCGAGAGGCCCGGGGGTGGCGAAGTGCTCGGGGCCGAAAAAGAAGGACGCCGTGGTGGCGTTGGCCGCCAGCTGCTGGATGTGCTTCTGCACGAAGGGGGAGGGCTCCGGGCGGATGGGGGTGTCGCAGAGGAGGGACAGGTCAAAGCCTCGGTTGCTGTTGATGGCGACGGAAATATCAAGGCTCACACAGACGGCACGTCTGAAGGCCTCGATGGCCGACAGGGGTGCAAAGATGCTGCTGTCGGTCCAGAGCTCCTCGAACGTGACCTTGAGCTTCTTGATGGAGCGGCAGCCGCGGTTGACAAGGACGGCCTGCACAAAGACACACGCACATCACAAGGAAGCTCTCGCCCACTCTCTCTGGTTTTGTGTAGCTTGTGTGGTTCGTCGCATACCTGAAGGCGCTCCAGACCCCTAGCGCTCGCGCTCGACATTCTGAGCGTGCCGACATCCTCCAGCTGCGACAGCAACCCCGGCTGGCCGGCCGCTGCCACCGGGATCTGCGCCAGCGAGTTGGCCATGACGTCAGGGTGGCATTCCACGTGCAGCTCCTTGAGGCGCCGTGACGTCCCCACTAGCTCTCCCAACATCTCACCGCGATACAGCATCCCCCGCACCTGCACCTTCTCGAGCGAGGGCAGCTGCCAGTGCCGCCCGCGGCCCGGGTAGGAGGGCTCATATCCCCCCGGGACACCTGTGATGGACCTGAGGGATGTGAGGGTGAGTGGCGGGTCGAGGGCAGGGGGGAGAGCCGCCAACCGCTCTCTAGCAGCTCGGATATCGCGGCCCTCGGCCTCGTCGACGACTATGGCCGATTCGCCCTTGATTATGTCGATGGACTCCAAGGTGGTTGGCGCCTGCCGCCCGGCTGCTGTGGCCGCTGCGGCTCTCTGTCCGCGCGGAGGTTACTCGGGTACATGACGACAATGGATCTGAGCTGTGTGAGTCGCCGGCCCCACTCGAAGGCGTCAGCGAAGGAGAGGCCGCACCAGAAGCGCCGCTCGGCGGTGTCGTAGGTGTCCATGACCAGCTGGGTGATCTGGCAGCCGACGTGGCGCCACAGCCGCTGGGGCAGCGCCGCCACCAAATGAAGCGACACGAACGAGAAGACGTAGGCGACAACAACAGGCTGAGTGCACAACACACACCACACAGACACAGAGAGAGGAGACAATGAGGATGTGTGTGTTTGCCAGTGGTTCGTTTGGTGCATCTCAGCTTACGATTTGGCTAAAGCGCTGTGCAAAGGCCTCCAGATCTATGGTGTGTGTGGTGTGCGATGCCGTGGCCTCCTGCTGCTGCTGCTGCTGCCGGCCGTCGGTGTCCATCACGGCCTCGTGGTGTCCGTCATCCAAGCCATGCTCCTCTCCCTCGACCGTCTGCCTCTGCCGCTTCGATGCCGACTCACTCATCCCGATTGTCCACCAGGCGACAATTAGGGTGTGGGTTTCAACCCTGGCACATGGCATCCATGAAACAAACGATGGCGTGTTCGACGCTCTCGGACGTCTTCTTCGACATTCTCAAGTGACACTAAACGAAAGCGTTTGAATAAAATGAATGAAAGAGAGGCCAGAAGAAGCCAGTGACACGCCACCAGAAGCAGAGGGGGATGGTGCGGGTGTATGTGTGTGTTCTGATGTAGAAGGTGTTGGAGTTGGTGAGGAAGAGAGTTTGTCGGCCTCGTCGGCCCCGTCGGCCTCTTCATCTAGCGCTCCGCTGCGGCAGTGCTGGTATGCGGATGACTCGTCGGCGCTCGGCAAACTTCACGGCATCCTCGTGTGGTTTCGAGCCCTGCGTCGCATCGGTCCCTCATACGGCTATCACCCAGAGACCGCCAAGTCCTTCCTCGTCGTCAAACCCGAGCTCGAGCAGATCGCAAGGGAACTCTTCGAGCCCGAGGGGGTGCAGATCGTCACGGGCAAGAGGTTCCTGGGCGGCTACGTGGGCGATGAGGGGGGAAGGGCGGCGTTCCTCTGCGAGAAGGTCGAGGGGTGGGTGCGCGGCGTGCGCGCGCTCACGTCTGCTGCCCGCAACTTCCCACACACGGCCCACGCGGCAATGACGAGGTCTCTGCAGATGGAGTGGGACTACGTCTTTCGCGTCGTGCTCACCGACGAGTGCGCTCTCAGCCCCCTCCGCGAGGCCATCGCCAAGGAGCTGCTGCCGGCCCTCCTCGGCGGCCCTGTGACGCCGTCCGAGGTCGACCTGATGCTGCTGCCTGCCCGGCATGGCGGCACCGGCATACGTGACCCTCTCGACCGTGCCGCAGCCGCCTACCCCGCTTCCCGCGCGAGCACCAAGGTGGTCTCCAAGTCCGTCCAAGGCAAGGCTCCGTTCCACCCTGGCGACCATCGTGCCACCATCCGCCACGCCCTCACCCGGAGCAAGCAGCAGCAGGACGTCGCCCACAAGACCAAGAGGGAGGCCGCCCTGCCGCACATCGACCGCCGGGTGGTAGC